AACAATCCCCCCCTGTCCCTCAGAGCGTTGTCCAAACGCTCCTGGAGCTCTGGCAGCCTTGGGGCCGTGCCCACTGCCCTGGGGAGCCTGGGCAGTGCCCACCACCCTCTGGGGGAAGAACCTTTCCCTGAGATCCATCCCAACCCCCCTGGCACAGCTCCAGCCCTTCCCTGGCTCCTGTCCCTGGTCTGAGAGGTCAGAGCTGCCCCTTGGAGGAAGCTGCAGCCCCTGAGGAGTCTCCCCCAGCCCAGCACCCTCAGCCCAGCACCCTCAGCCCCTTCCCCTCTGGACCCTCCCACACCACAAAGTTCCATTTCCCTGCCCCAAATCCCACCGACAGCAGAGTCAAGCCTTTTCTCCCAGGGGTGCTCCAGCTTGCAGAAACCATTACCCACAGAATTACACTTCTCCACACCCTGACCCCTGTGTGTTCCTTGACAGACGAGCCGCCTACTCCTACAACACCGAGGCTCAGATTTACGCCCCCAGCAGCGCCGCCTCCTACTTCGAAGCGCAGGGAGGAGGAGCTCAGGTGACTACAGCGGCATCCTCTCCTCCTGCCATTCCCTCTCACAACATGGTGGGCATCACCATGGACATTGGGGGAAGTCAGATCCTCTCCGGCTCGGGAGCCTATCTCATTCATGGGGGGCTGGAGAACTCTAGACATTCCCTGTCACACACCTCACGCTCCTCTCCAGCAACGGTATGTAGCCCTGCGGGTGTGGCAGCTCGGGGGCCAGCAATTGTTGTGCCGAGGGGCACTGAAATCCTTCAGAAAATACAAAACCTTCCTGTTGTTATCGATGTCCATAACGTGCCATAAGCGGAAGGGAGAGAATAGACACTGGCGTGCCGTGGTTTTCCAGATGGGAGTTTGGAACGTCCCTCTCGCTCAAGCAGGGACTTGGTCAAACTTCCCAATCACTGAAATTCCCACTCACTCAAATAAGATAAGAGAAAAATCTTCTGTGACATTGCTTTTTTTTTCTTTTTCCCCCTCCCTCTCAAGCAAAATATTTTGCCTTCCCAATTCAACACGTTTGTCTCTATTTATTTTTTTTTTTTCTACCAAATCTAACATCTGAACACGGGGGCTTGGTTTGCCCAAAATAATGAAATGTATTTTCAACTGTGAAGAGACCTGGAAAATCCTTCATTAACCCAGGGGATAATTAGCACATGAGTTTTGTCAAGCTGATCGTTCCAAGTGCACAGTGATCAAAAAGTCTTTGTATATGTATCTTGTACACCATTGTGTATTCTCTCCCTGCCATATGTTACAGAAAATGTAGTTTAGAGGTAATACTGATCAAGCAGAAGTGTTTTAAAGCTCTCTGTTTTTTAAAAAATCATGTCCCTCCAGCTGTCAGTGAAGTGCCAGAGTGCTGGAAGCACAGCTGTGCAGCTGTGTGGGACTGGGGGGTTGTGGATATTCACCCAAAACAGCCTTTCTGCAGTTAGAGGCTCCCAGGGCTTGGATTTGGGAATCTCCCAAAGCAGCTGCCAGGAGTGGTGGAAGCTCATTTTGTGGGGCATTCCTCACCTTCCTCTCCAGACTTCTGTTTATATGTTTGTATGTAAATATAAATATAAATGTAGGTGTAATACAGTTTGTGGACCAGGGGAAGAAAACCCAGGAGCTGTTTGCTACTGAGGGCTCTGGAAAATCTGGCCTATTAAGTTGTACTTTGATTTCCCACAGAGTTTTAGGATATAAACTCCATGTTTTTGGAATCTTTCTGCCTCGAAAGGTTCCCTGGATCGTGGAGTAAATGTGCTCTGCCTTAGGTAGAAACAGGGGAAAAGTCCTTAGTTTGGGTGGAAGAGAAAATTACTGATGCTGGGTTAGCTGGGGTTCAGTTCATGGGTGAGAATTGTGTGAGGGTGTGTATTTTAACTGTTCATAGTTAAAAATGAGCATTGGACCATTTGATTTTTGCTCAAGCTTGTTACTTGGAAGGAAGTGGCTGCTGATCTTGTCACCTGCGTGGGACTGCGTCTTGCAAAGCTGCACAACATCACTCTTGGGTTTTGGGGTTCCTGTTGTTTGGGGTTTTTCTTTTTGATTTCCATGGTGATGGGCACAGTGTAAAAAACCCAAGTAGAAAATGTGTCAATAGATATGTCCCATGCACAGATTTTATTTTTTTTTTTTGTGGCTGTCACATGAGGTAAGGCTGTTCAGGAAAAAACATGAAATATTAAGAAGTGACTTCTAAGAAAAGTCACTTTATCTGAGATAAATTCCCTCTGTTTCATGTAGGGATGCATTTTCTGAAGGTGTTTTAACACCAAATGTCTGTGGAGGGGCTGAAGAAGGTGGAATAGTGCCTGGCAGACAGTCCAGGGGTGGGTCTGTGTGTGGCTTTCAGTTCTTCCAGCACAGTCTGGGGCTTGGAGCAGGATAGAGCAGAACCATCATAACTGCCTGGAATTCCACATAATCCTGTAATCATCGGGTTTGGGTTGGAAGGGACCTTAAAGATCATCCAGTTCCACCCCCTGCCATGGGCAGGGACACCTTCCACCAGCCCAGGTTGCTCCAAGCCCCGTCCAACCTGGCCTTGGACACTTCCAGGGATGATGTTCTGCTCCATCTGAACAGCACATGGAACAGCCCTGTTCAGTGTCTGTGCCAACACAGCACTATTAATCTTCACCTAAATTAGTCTGTAGCAAGAGAGGAAATCCCTGAGGTGTCCCAGAAGTGGGTCCTCAGAGCTCTTCAGCTTCCTACGGGGCTGTTTAAGAGCTTTTAGACTTTTCCCCTGTAAAATTTTTTTCCTGCAAATGCAAAGTGTCCATTTGTATGGGGCGCTCACCAAAAAGGGGCAGGCAGTGTTTTTGTGCTTGTGTAACAGGGGTTGCTCAACCAGCTCGAGGGCAGGAAGGAAACGGGGTCTCCCTCTAACACTGACTCATTTCCTGAAGGCTGTGTCAGCAATCAGGCCTTGGTTCCTCCTGGCACATCAGTGTGTGAGAGTGTTCTCAAAGAAAAAGCTGGGTTTAGGCTGACCCTGTGCTGAATTTGCTGGTAACATCTTGGGAAGTGCCACTGTTGTGGCACTTTGGCCTGGAAAACCAAGGGACTTGTGCTTGGACCTGGATGTGGCACAGAGCCTGACTTTGGCTCTTGGGTGTTACTTGAGGAGTTGGATCTGATTTGTTCTGCTCTCCCACCTTCCTGACAGAGCTTGGGTTTGTAAATGTCTGGTTTATCTCAACCTGTATCTTCCCCATGCGATGAGTCAGTGCAGACTGTGAATATGGGAAGGAGGCCATGGACAGACCATCTGCAGATGTTTAGTGCATGTGCCCACAAAGGAGATGTGTGTTAAATGAGGACAGATGCTAGAGATAGTTCTCCTGGCTGATATGTGCTACCTTATCCTGCCTGCACTAACAGACCGTGGATAACAGGGCTTTGAGAACATCCACTGGAAAGAAACAGGAGGTTCTGCTCCTGCCAGTCCCTTAATGTGGGGGGTTTTTTTTGAGGTTTGAGGTGTTTTTTTTTTTATTTCCTCCCTTGCCAAAAGCTTGGAGAGGAGCTCTGAGGCTCTGGGATCAGCAGCTGCCTCTAAGGAGTTTACCAGAGCTTGTCAAGGGAGTCCAAGGAGCAGAAAGGAGAAGACAAGAAGGATCCAGGAGAGGGTTGAGGCTCAAAGCAGCAGCCACAGCTGGGTTAAAAATAGAACAGGAGCCACTCAGAGAGAAAAAGGAGGCTCTTGAGGGACCAGAAGGCCTTACCTTGGCTCCTCTGAGTTCAACAGCATCAAGGTGTGCCATCCTGGCTTCTTCCTTCAGAGTCCCTTTGCAGTTCTCCTCAGTGTCAGAGGGCCCTTATCCATTCCAGCTCGTGCCCTCTCTGTTTCAGCCCTCTTTGCACCTGTTTTTTGGAGGGTTTTTTTTTAGTTTTTGACAGAATATTAAGAGGTTAATAACCAAAGTCATTCCTGTCAGTTCTTGAAAGGCAAAACTCTTCAGCAAGTCCTTGTCCTGGTGCAGCAGATCTGTGTGGTGATGGTTTAGTCTCAGCAGGAAGGGGAAAGCAGAAGGAAAATTGCCTTTTTTATTTTTTTTTTAAATGAGCAATGCTTTTAGTGGAAGATAACCCCCCCCCTGGTCTTGCTCTGTCACCCCCGTGGTGATTCCTGCTGTGTGTCCATTTGCATGTCCCAGTAACACCTCTGCAGCTTCATCCACACGGACTGTGCTCATCTGTTTGCCTCTTTTTCACAAGCTTGGTGATATAAAGCATTAATCATTCAAATATTAATAAAGAAATAATAATCCTGGCTGTTGCTAACTGTCTGATTTCCTTTCTTTTTTCTTTTTTTTTCCTTTTTTTTTGTTTGTTTTTTTTGTTTGTTTGTTTGTTTTCCTTTGCACATTTTTCTTTAGCTTGAAATGGCGATTGAAAACCTACAAAAAAGTGAAGGGATTACATCACACAAAAGCAGTTTGCTCAACAGCCATGTAAGTTACAATCAGAATTTCCAACCCTTTCCCTGCTTTGGTGGGAGAATTATTTGTAGCCCTTTGGTGTATTCAACAGCACGAGTCCCTCAAAGCAGCCTGTGAACTGAGCTGTGCTGCCCAAAACAGCCCATTCCCAAGCAAAAAGAGTCTGCAAAAAGTGCCCTGGTGATAATGTTTGTTGCTGGGATGCTCTCGAGTCTGTTAACTGCCTCTGCCTTTATTTATTTCATCTGCCTTGCAATGGAAATTGCTGGCAATTAGA